ATGAACATACATAATGAAAATATTAGAACCAGTGCTCTAAAAGCTCGTCTAGGCGGCACCTAAGCTCAGGCAAAATGTTCCGCTTCGCGCCTAAAACGGTTTTTTTTTTTAAAATTCCTAAACGGTTGAGTTCCCCTCTTTCATTTTTCCCAGGCGTGCTTTATTAGTTTTTTTTTTTTTTAGTTTTTTTTTTATTTGACTTTAGCTTATTAATTTTTTATTTTAAAAAAACTTTTTATTTTATTTTAATTTCAAGTTTTTAAAAGATTTTGTATGTACAAAAGTTAAAAATGACATTATCCTCAGAAGCACCGACACGCTGTCGGGGACAACGTATCAGTGTTCGATACGTGTCAGACACCGATACGTCGTCGACACGTGTTGGAGTCGCTTGCAGCGTGTCGAAGGCTTGGATGGGCAGTCGGCAGAACTGAAAAGGCAGAAAAAAGAGAGAAAAAAGAAGGCAGCTTCTGGTCTGTGGAAAGGAAGAAGAAAAGGAAAGAAAAAAGAGAACAGAGAAGAAGAAGAAGAAGAGACCTAGAAGAGGAAGAAACTCCGACAGAGGAGGAAGAGACTTAGCTTCTGGTTGACTGGTTCCATTGTCACATATGGTAAAAGATGTATTTGGGGGAAAAGGAAATGAAACAATATTGCACAGGAAGAGATTGATGAAATGAAGATTCATCATTTTAGAAGTAAAAATTTCAAAAGTGGGACCCACCACTGCAAAGTCATAATTTTATCTTCTTGTGTACATTTTGTGTAGCTATATTTTATTAATAAAACAATATATAATATTTTATTTGAAATAATTTGTACCATTTTACCCTTAAACAAACAATCAAACTTATATAGAGCATGTCTGGCAGCCACTATTCACCAATTTAAAATCAAAATTTCGGTCATTATGTACCAGTTGAGTAGCCATTTTTGACTGCTTGGGAGAGAGGGGGACCCACCAGTTGACTGCAACGGTAACTTTTTGAGTTAAAATCTGATAATAATGGCTGCCAGACATGCTCATAAGAATCTCACACTTCTTCCTCGTTGTTAATGGCCAAAAATTGGCAAAAAAAATTATTTAATCAGTATAAAAAATTATTACTTTAGACTATAAAATTAAAATAACTTTAAAAAAAATTGTAATCAACGTGTCGACGACGTATCGTGTCTGAACTTTTTTAAAAAATCGCGTGTCTACGTGTCCGACATGTGTGTCCGTGTTGGTGCTTCTTAGACATTATCTAAATAGTTAAATAAAATTAAAACTATGGTGCTATCTATATTATATAATTATGATCTTGAAACTCGTTATTTTGTTATAAGCTCTAAAAATATGTATGAAGTTCCTATAGATCTATTTTGTAGAATTTGTTTAATCTAAAATTGAAACTATGAAAAGTATTCTAATTTTCACATTTCAAAAACTTGAAAAATTATATTATTGACTAATGGTAGAAATTATTAAGCCATATATTTTATAATTTTAGATATTTGGTGTGTATTATTTTAATTATTAAATGATTTTTAAAATGATTAAAAATTTAAATTAATATTGAAAATAAGAAAACGCTTTGTCATGCATATGCCCGCTTAAGCTCGTAAAATTTGAAGTTTTTTTTAAACTCCTAGCCACACTTCACGTGTTTTTTAGAGCAATGATTAGAATTTTCGTTTCCATTATAATAATCATGCGGAAGTTGCAGACTGAAACACGCAAGTTTTTTCTTATTTCTAATGTTCTAATTTTTTCATTTATCGTACATCTTCCTACCATTAGCTATATATCTTAAACAATCACCAATACATTTACATTTTGGTATCTTATTAATTCACAAACTATTAGCTTATTTACCCTTTGCATGTTCACAGATCTTACTTGTCAAAAGGCGTTCATTTTGTAACAAATTTTCACATGCGCGACATGTTTCTTTATCTAAGTATTGCTATCTTTTCTTTATTCGTCGATTCAGCTTTTCAATCTTAGATATCAAAATGTTTTTCTATTAACGGCATTAGAAGAGAGTGTAACATACTTGTGTTGTTACAATTACATGTTTTCTATGAGGATGATATGAGTAACACAAAAATTAAGAGTAGCTCATTAAAACTATGGTATTGAAGGTAATGGACTACAAACCATGGACAAACATTGTAGTCAAAATATATTCAATGAAAGACATATTGTTCTGGAAGATAATCACACCCTTCGAGAAGTTACAACTATAATCATTACTTTATACCAGTTTTCTAAAAAGCGATGCATAGGTGTGAAACGAGCGTAAAATCCCTCTCTCTCGCTTTTTTGCTTTTTATTTATTTATTGTTTTTTGCTTTATTTTTTTTGGTGCCTAGGTTGCATTTTTTATGCGTTTTACATTTTTTTTAAAACCTTTTTTATGCTTTTTAATTATTAAATAATTTTTAGATTGATTTAAAAATTTAAAATAACATTAAAATAAGAAACTTTTTTTTTTTACGCTTTCGCATAGGCCCGCATAGCCTGAAAGCTTGGCTTCCACGATTCACTACGTTTTACACTTTTTAGAACACCATTTTATACTCAATGCAAAATGATCAGGACAAGAATGACATAATCAAGGATGGGAAAAAAAATCATATTACTAAACGGACGAGTTGACAAATCAACTATGAACTCAAAGATGCCGAAATCGTACATGTCGAATTTATTATCTTTTCTGAGCTAGATAAAAGCCTTTCCATCATGAAACAAAAAAGAATTATAGGTGATATCCCACCATCACAAGGCAGCGGTTTTTACATTTTACAATGAAGGTTTTATTTTCCACCCCAGTAACGTCGGTAAAGCAATGGAAGATTAAAAAAAAAAAAAATGAAAGGCGCCCAACCTATATACTTAGTAGCAAACCAGTGCCCATTTTAATTTTCTTTTTCGCATTTAAGTTCCCAACCTATCTTTTCTATTTCCATATAACCTGTTGGGAATTTACTTAACATGCACAGCGGAAATAAAATAATTTTCAATTCCCAAACGAGGATCTGCAATGTGTTTAGATAGAAACTGTGATTAGGATTAATAC